CAAGATTCCCCTCACAGGTACTGCTATTGAGCCTGGTTTCACCCAGTCTATATGTGCATTTTTGGTTTCTCTTGCCTAAGGGTAAGACTTTACTTTTCTCCACAGTTCTCAGCAGTCACTTCTTCAGAGTCAGAGAACATCACCTTTCTCAGGTGTTTATTCAATACCAATTGATGTCACTGGATCAAGTCCATAATCTCCAGGCAAGTTATGACCATAATGAAAGCTGCCGCATCATGGCTGCAACGTGTGATGGCTGTAATGACCTATTTTGCAGTGGTCATTTAGCAAATCGCCCTGATGGCTAAGTGAATCCACAATCATTAAGTGGTTTACTATGAGCATGATTTTGCAGGAAATGTGTCAGCATTCCAACTAACAAACTCCAAACCAATAAACTCCAAAGCGAGCATTTTCTCAAAGTTCCATTTTATTAAAGTTGTCATATTGGCACATCTGGGAAAACCTGAATCTGAGAGTTCCGGTGTTTCCCTTCCCAATAGAAAGTCAAAGATCCACCCCCTGCACCCACCAGTCCATCACATGGTCCAATCAAATCTTCATCCCAACTGGAAACATTCCTCTAGACCAGAGGTCATCAAACTCGACAGCTTTAAGACTTGTGGACTTCGACTCCCAGAATTCTTCCTCCAGTCATGTTAGCTCAGGAATTCTGGGAGTTGAAATCCACAAGTCTTAAACTTGCTAAGTTTGAAGACCTTTCCTCCAGACACTCCTCTCCAGGTGCAGGGTAACTTGTCCTTGACTCTCTGAGAAAGGAATGTTGTTGAGTCTAATCTTCTACTCTCTATGAAATCTCCCCTCCCAAATTCCCAGGCACTCAATGTTGCAGCCTCAAAGCTTCCAAATAAATATGGCTTCCAACGCTGATGCTTAGGATGCTGTAAATGTAGCCCAGTGGGTGACTACCTGGAGTGCAGATGTGATGGAGGGAAGGGGGATTGATCATTGGAACTTCGAGTCTGGTTGTTAAGTACATCCCAAGTATGTCTGCCAGAAATTCCAATACAGGTAGTCCTTGACTTACGACCACAATTTAGCTCTACTGTCAAGCCCGAAATTGACACCCACATTTCTGGGGTTAAGTCAGACATTTGTTCAGCCCATTTTGCCCCATTCTATGACTTTTCTTACCCCCTGTTGTTAAGGGAATTGCTGCAGTTGATAAGTTAGTCTTCCAGTTGTTATTCTAATACTGGCTTTGCTTATGAGGTCGCAAAAGGGGATCATGTGACCTGCCCCCACTTCCAACAAAGATTGCCAAACCTCTGAATTTTGATCATGTGATTGTAACTCTGAAAAACACTCATAAGTCACATTTTTTCAATGCCGTTGTAACTTTAGTCACTAAATGAATGTTGTAACTCAAGGACTACCTGTATACCTCTATGGTAGCAATATGTCTACCAATTCACCCTTTTCTCATTTCTACCCAAGGCTAACCATTTGTCTGAAATGCTATAGGGTTTCCTGCCTAAGCAGGGGGTTGGACTAGAAGACCTCCAAGGTCCCTTCCAACTCTGTTATTTCTGTTATAAATGCTCAGCTCCATCCAGTCGCCCCAACTCTGTCAGAGTATATTCATGAACTGGAATAGAGCTTTGTAAGAAGGTCAGCCAATGAATAGGCATAGCAACTAAGTCAGCCAATGAGGATAGTTTGGAAACTGAAACTAGAAGTAGCCTAGGCTGGAAACCGAAACTAAAAGTACCCTAGCAGTGGTTCTATATTAAGCTCTGCAACTCTGCAGCTATGTTGAAGCTCTGAGTCTGTCTATTGAAGATGAAACTAACTTGCTTGCTTGCTGAAGACTGGAGCTCTGCTCTGAACTTGCAACATGTTTCTGTTTGAGTTTGCTCCATGTTGGAGAAATCTACAACTGGTTTGTAAAATCTTATTATGTTTATAAAGATGTTAAATGAAGCATCAGCCATCTGTGTTTATTTTTCTGGCACTGAATTATCGCTGCAAAACTCTCAATAAACTCTCTCTCAAACTCTGACATGCTCAGATCATCACAACTCTTGAGAAAGACAGAAGGAATCCATGAGGATTCCCCTCAAAACTGGACTTCCAACAGCAGTTGTCTGTTTATTTGAATTAAGTTCTATTTTAATTAAGATGGAGGATCTGTGGAACAATGCTATCCATTGACGCTGCTCAGTCTACATTGGCATGTCCTCTCTTGTCTCTTGTAGGGCGATTCTTACGGAAGTAAGGGAGCTGTTAACACACTTAACACGTAACTAAAGATTTGCTTTTGCTAGATAAAAAAAAGTAAATGTTTGTTCAAGGAAACTAGCAAGGATGTAATGGCTAACTAAATGGCTTTCATTAACAAAGGGAAGTGTCTTTGAAGCGGGTAAGGTATCTCAGTAACATTTCCCCTTAGACAAGAATCAGCCTAGTCTTAATTGTTTAGTGCTCTGCAATGCTTTAGATTTACTTACCCCCAAAATAGAGCACTTGTCAGTGACTCATTAAAGCAGCTGCACAAATTTGAAAGAAACACAGTTGCTTTAAATACCCAGCCAGCTTTCATGCCTAACGTGGAACTAAAATTCACAGTCTCCTGGTGATTGGCCTTGACTCACCTAGCCAGCTTTCATGCCTAAGGCAAGACTAGAACTCACAGTCTCCTGGTGATTGGCCCTGACTTGCCCAGCCGGCTTTCATGCCTAAGGCAAGACTAGAACTCTCAGTCTCCTGGTTCCTTGGCCACCATTTTCACCACTAGGCCAAACTGGGTTTAATTCTTCATTTAGCTTGGCTTCAAATCCCATTTCTAAAACCATGACAAAAGGTAAAAATATTAAAAGCTGCTTAGATCTGAAGATCTCCATTCAGCAGTTCTGAAGACTGTTGCTCCCAGCTTCCAGGTTTTATAGGGCACCATAATAACACAGGGAAAACTGACAGAATTTTCAGACTTTTTTTCTGGGAAGTTGCACTTTATTGAAATAACTCAGTTATGTTTGCTGGATTAAAAATAATAATAATACTTATTTTAGAAGTTAGGCCAAGGGAAAAAGCCATCCAAATCCACTGATTTGCCAGAAACTTTTGGATGCAAAACCGTGGAGGCGGTTTCAGAGAGGCTTCTCTTGAAAAGCATGCTGAGGTGGCAAACTAAAATATTCTAATTAATTTTTCATGGCTCAGAATTTTCAAAGCGTATGGAAAAGTTAAAATTCAGGACATGATACCCAAAGCCAGTTAACAATTAGGTCTGTGCTCAAACACCCAGATAGGGAGCAATTCAGCCATCGGTTCATTCTGCTGACTTCCAGCCTCAGAGAGATGCAAATAAACCCAGAATCCTGTTTTCTTCCACCCTCTGTCTTTCCACCATTTCAAAACAAATAACAAGGGAGATATGCTTATATCTGAGTTAAGAATGTATGTCAGTCATATTTTATAAGCAAGCAAGAGAAAGAACTGAAGTATGGAAACAGAAATCTCATCGAGTCGCATATTGTCATATCCATCTCATTTAAGACTCACTCGTAAAGGCAGAAGCAAAACAAAATTATTAGCAGTGGACTCCCGGCATTTTGAGTTAATGATTAAAAAGCCAAAAATGACTCAAAGAAATTGGAGCCATGTGAGACATCATTGACTGCCCTGTCTTCCTCACAGCTCTTTTCCTTCCACCTCAAAGAAGAATACACTCAGCTGATCACCTGGAACATTTTTTTAATCAACATTCCTGCTCTGGTTGCTGATAGGAGGCTTCACCAACGGATGAATCTGGAGCTTCATAAGAGAATTGTTAGACTATGGGTTAAGTTGTGGTTGTGAAGGATACTTTAGATACAGATTAACAGAGTTGGAAGGTACCTTGTAGGTCATCTAGTCCAACCCCCTGCCCAAACATTTCTGATAGATGGGAGTCCAACCCTATACCATTTCTGATAGATGGGAGTCCAGTCTCTTCTTGAAAGCTTCCAGTGATAAAGCTCTTACAACTTCTGAAAGTAACTTCTTTACCATTGGTTGATTGTTCTCACCGTCAGAAAATTTCTCCTCATTTCCAGGTTGAATCTCTCCTTGATCAGTTTCCATCCATTATTCCTTGTCTGGCCTTCAGGTGCTTTGGAAAAATAGCTTGACCCCCTCCTCTCTGTGGCAGCCCCTTAAATATTGGAAGACTGCTATCCTGTCTCCCCTGGTCCTTCTCTTTAATTAGAGTAGCCATGCTATGTACTTGCAACCATTCATCGTATGGTTTTGCCTCCAGCCCCCTAATCCTTCTCGTTGCTCTTCTCTGCACTTTTTATTTATTTATTTTATTTGTTGATTGCTTACAAGATAATAGATGTAAGTATATACATAGTTATGAATTCATGAAATGGGTACATATAAGAAAAATAAAAGAAACAATAGGAAAGGGATGGTAGGCACGTTGGTGCACTTATGCACGCCCCCTACAGACCTCTTAGGAAAGGGGTGAGGTCAATAGTAGACAGTCTAAGGTTAAAGTGTTTGGGGTTTGGGGAAGAAACTACAGAGTCAGGTAGAGTATTCCAGACATTGACTACTCTGTTGCTGAAGTCGTATTTCCTGCAATCAGGTTTGGTGCGGTTAGCCTTGAGTTTGTATCTATTGTGTGCTCTTGTGTTGTTATGGTTGAAGCTGAAGTATTCATTGACAGGTAGGACATTGCAATGCATGATTTTATATACTATATTTAGATCGGACCGAAGACGGCGTAATTCAAGGTTTTCTAGGTCTAGAATTTCAAGTCTGGTGGCATAAGGTATTCTGCAACGAGTAGAGGAGTGGAGAACTCTTCTTGTGAAATATTTCTGGACTTTCTCAACTGTGCTAATATCAGATATGTAATGTGGGTTCCAGACTGATGAGCTGTATTCGAGTATTGGTCTAGCAAATGTTTTGTATGCTCTAGTTAGTAGTGTGATATTACCAGATAAAAAGCTACGTAGGATTAGGTTAACAACTCTTAATGCCTTTTTGGCTAAGTAGTTGCAGTGGGATCTAGCACTTAGATCATTAGAGATGAGTATTCCAAGGTCCTTTACAGAGCTTGGACCATCAACAAGATCTTGACTATTCAGCTTGTATTTTATCTTCTGATTTTTTTGCCAATATGTAAGACAGAGCATTTATTTGTTGAGATTTGAAGTTGCCATTTGTTTGACCATTCTGATACATAGTCAAGATCTTTTTGAAGGGTAGCAGTATTGTCTGTGGTATTGAACAGCTTTACATCATCAGTGAAAAGAATGCAGTTGCTCTTAATATGATCACAGAGGTCATTTATGTAGAGTATGAAGAGAGTTGGTCCTAGAACACTGCCTTGGGGGACACCACTGTTGACAGGTACAGAATTTGATAGGACACTCCCAATTTTGACCATTTGTTGTCTGTTTGACAGGAATGCTTCTATCCAGTTATGTAGGTGTCCAGAGATACCATAGGATTTTATTTTTAGGAGTAGTTTGTCGTGTACCACTGAATCAAAGGCTTTACAGAAGTCTATGTAGACTGCGTCTATTGCTTTGCCCTGATCGAGTTGTGTAGTCCGTATGTTTTTGCAGTGTAAGAGTTGCAGATTACAGGATAGTTTTTTCCTGAAACCAAATTGTTTATTGGAGAGTAGGTTGTTTGTCTCTAAGTGGAGGATAATGGGTTGGTTAATAATTGATTCCATGACTTTACAGGTGATGCAGCATAAAGAGATTGGTCTGTAATTTTCAACTAGGCTGGGGTCTCCCTTTTTGAAGATGGGGATGACTGTGGCTTGTGACCATAAGTTAGGCAAGGAGTTGGTCCTGAAAGATTTTTCAAAGATTATGCTCAGAGGTTCGGCTATGGCAGTGGATAGCTTTTTTAAGAAGTAGGCACATATTTTATCCGGTCCAACAGATAGAGATGGTTTTAGATTGCGTAGTGCTTTTTCAACATTGTCTTCTGTAAAATCAATATGTATTAGATCATTGTAGTTGACTGTGGTTCGGCTAGGAAATACTGGGCATGATCCATTGCTGTTTACAAATACTGAGCCAAAAAATGTGTTAAAGATGTTGGCTTTAATGGTGTTGTCATTGCAATCTTTACCATTAGGTCCCATCAGGGGTGGGATGGACCTTGAGTCTTTTAGTTTGTTGTTTACAAAATTGTAAAAAGCGCGGGTGGAATTGGTGCATAGAAGGTTTTCCTCTTGTTTAATGTGATAATTGGTGCATTCAGTCTTTATCTGATGGCATAGATTTTTGTATCGGCTTTTGAAATTGGCAACGTGACCAGATTTGTTTTTCCGCCAGAGTGATCTCTTTTTGGATTGAAGTTTCCTCATTGTTATGGGTAATCTTTTTTTTGTTTTGGGAGTTGTTGTTGGTACATATAGTTTGATGACACTTTTGACTTCAAGTAAAACTATGTTGTAATGGTCTTCAACAGTATTGCATCTAGTGAATAGAGATTGCCAATCAAGGGATGAGAGATCGTTGTCTATAAGATCATAGTTGCCTTTTTTGAAGTTATAATTGGGGATTACGTCATTGTGATGATTTTTGTGTGGGCGTATGTTGAGACAAAAGGCAATCATATTGTGGTCACTGCTGGAAAAGGGTTCTTTAGTTTGTATTCCGTAAATTAAATTCAAACTATTGCAGAAGATTAGATCGAGGCAGTTGTTTAGTCTAGTGTTGTTGGTTACTAGTTGTTCCAGTCCCAGATTTGTAGTAGCATTGTAGAAGGTTGTGTGTATGATTTCAGTTGTACATTCATTTAGGGTCCAGTCAATATGAGGTAGATTGAAGTCACCAAGAAAGATAAAAGCATGTGGGCAGGATGCTGCCTATGTTAGTAGTGTATTTAGCTTGTTTACATGTTCGATGTCATAATCAGGTGCTCTGTAACATAGTAAGAATCGAAATGTGATATTTAAGGATAGTTCACAGGAGGGCGGAGTTGGCGTCGTGACGATACGGCATGCGATCTTGGAGGTCTGAGATCGCTGCCGATATCTTTGCTCCTGGATGGTCCTATCGGATCTAAACCATCCCGAAGAGACGGTGAAAGTGAAGAGCACATCCTGTCAATCCCAGGGATACCGCAAAGTCCCTGGTAGATCCAGGAGAAGCTCTTTTTGCCAGCGGCAAAGAGGCAGCCACTAAAGCTGCTGAAGTTGGGACAGCTCCGAAACGAAAGAGAGAGTGTGCCAGTTTGGTGAGAACTTTTTCTTTATTCTAAGATCTGAAAGGACACCCTAAGGAAAAGAAAGAATCTGTAAAAGTTTTGACAGAAGTGATTAAGCGGCAATTTTAAACAGGAATGTCAAAGTAATGTTTTTTTTCTCATTGTTGGATTTTCTATACATGATCTTGTATTTTGAAACTGGACTGGTTTTTTCTTTTCCATCTATTTTTTCTCCTTTTTGATTTTGTAACATTTTAGGCTAGAGACTCCCTTTTAGTTATTTCTTTTTTTTAAAATATCTTTTTCTTTTTCTATTATTATTAATTCTTATTATATTCTGCTTGGAAAAGGAGGGGGAAAGTGAAAGCAAAGAAACTTTGTAACACTGCCAACTAGAGGCTTGGAAATATTCTATTTCTCCTGTGACCAGACAAAGCTGAGAAAGAAAGTACTGAGACTTTTTTTCAAGGACATTGCTATTTGATAAGATAGAGGGAAGAGCATGGGAGAGTATTATTGCAGGTGCTCTTCTGGGTTTCTATCAACAGCTGTAGTCTGGTGTTGAAACTTAGGGGAGGGAAAGGTGATAAGTTTTTGGAGAAGAGAGTTATAATAAGAGCCTTGGATAATTAAACAAAGTGCAGTGTGCTCTTTTTACTTTTTCTAAGTTGTGCTATCCCTCCTCTCCAGCTTTATTTTATTTCATTTTATCTTTTTTTTTTTTTTTTGCAATAGCTATTTGGATCTTTGGCTTTGTTGGAGCTTGTCTTTGAGACAAGAGGATAAACAATTTTACAAAATTTGGGATTTATTCTATCAATGGTTAGACAATAAAATACAGCAATAAAATATGTAGACTTTTAGAAAATAATAAATATATAAATATTATATTATATTATATAAATATATATTATAAATATATAAAGATGTACTTCTTTCTTGTTATATCTACAAAATGATCTTAGGATAGATTTGGGATGGTAATATGAACTGTTATAAAACAAACTAAGTAAATTATGATTATCTTGTAAAACATGAATGAATAAAAGTATAGTCAAATGATTGATTAATAATGACACTAAGGTATTGAATTTTTGATTGAAAATACGAGATTATATGCAATGTAATTGTAATTGAAGACTACGAAATGGAAGCACAAAACAATCATTTTATAATGCCATACTTGGATTACTGTATCTAGTTTTGGTCACAACGATGAAAAAAAGATGTCGAGACTCTAGAAAGAGTGCAGAGAAGAGCAAGAAAGATGATTAGGGGACTGGAGGCTAAAACATATAAAGAATGGTTGCTGGAATTGTCTAGTTTGATGAAAAGAAGGACTAGGGGTGACATGATAGCAGTGTTCCAGTATTTGAGGGGCTGCCACAAAGAAGAGGGGGATCAAGCTATTCTCCAAAGCACCTGAGGGCAGGACAAGAAGCAATGGGCAGAAACTAATCAAGGAGAGAAGCAACCTAGAACTAAGGAGGAATTTCCTAACAGTGAGAACAATTCATCAGTGGAACAATTTGCCTCCAGAAGTTGTGAATGTTCCAACACTGGAAGTTTTTAAGAAGAGATTGGAGAACCATGTGATGACCCAGAGTGGGGATACAAAATAAACACAGTCACAAAAACCCGGTGAAGCTCCTTTTATTCCTTCACTTTGCTTCCAAGCTCCAAATATCCTTGACGGAAGACAAAAAACAAAGATGAAAAACTCCCACACAAGCAGTTACAAGAAGGAGGGAAAGAACAACACAAACCAGGCAAGATAAGGGCTGGAGGACATTCACAGGTAACAGAACACACACTACGAAGGACGACAAACTCAGAGAGGAACCATAAACTAGAGATATTTCCGTGCTTTGTTTCCAGCGTTCGCCCGTATGCATGTCCGTCCTCTTATTCAGTTGTCACAGCTGCAGCCCATGTAGAGGATCAAGGCCCTCTCCTCCTGAGTAGACCACGTCTCTCCCCTATCCTCTCCTCCCTGCGTGCCCTAGGATGGATAGGGGATGGGCCTGGGTCTGACTACTCAGCTGGCCTCTGCCCTTCCCCAGCCTCCTCCACAACTTCCAGAGCCACACTTCCACTCTCTGTCAGCTGTTTCTCCTCTCCCTCAGAGTCAGTCTCCACCAGGGGCATGACAAACCATTTGTCTGAAGTGGTTTCCTGCCTGAGGAGGGGCTTGGACTAGAAGATCTCCAAGGTCCCTTCCAACTCTGATATTCTATCCTATTCTACTTCTTGGCCAAGGGAGTCAGCATTGTCCGAAGACATTTTCCATGGTGAGGTGCCAACATGGCTATATGCCAAAGGTGCACAGAATTGCTGCTAACCTACTTTCAGGGAAATTAGAAGGCTGCAGATAGAGTTGTAAAACAGAGGTCAAAATATGCAATCACACAGAAACCAGCAAATTTACAAAGAGCTTTTCAACTTTATACATGAAGGGATGTCTCTTTGGAAATGATGCCACAGACACACTGCATAAAAGGAGAAATAATGGCACCATTGGCACATAATTTTGCTACTTTTTAATGCCTGCAGTGAGCTTCTTACAATACAGCATAACTGAAATCATATTTAGCATGTGCATCCTGTTCCTTTCCTTACTGATAATCTTCACTTAAAAACACCCATTTTGCATTTCTAATATCTTCTCTGAGTCATGTTGAGTTATTGAGTTAGTCTCTCTGGACACTAAGAACAGCTTATCAAAGAAGAATGGATACCTTTGAACTATAGTGCTGTTGTAAATAATTGCATGTACCATAGACAGCCAGAGCAACCAATAGAGAGGTGCTAAATCATATAAAACCAGGCATATCACCAGAAGCCAAAAATCACAAGACTACATTTGATTTACTTTGGCTATGTCATGCGTGCAGATTCATGCGTGCAGATGCGTGCAGATTCATTGGAGAAGTCGATGAGGCTAGGAATGGTTAGTGGAACAAGAAGAAGGGGCAAGCAAAGATCACACTGGCTTGACACCATCAAAACTGATACAATGATGGACATCCAACAACTGAAAGAAGCTGTGCTTGATGGAATGGCATGGAGAGCACTTGTCTACAAAGTCCTGTTGGAAGAAATATCCATCTGGTTCAGTTCCAAGCTTGGAGAAAGACACTGGAAACATGGAGGCTGATTGGAAAGATGGTTTAATGATGAAGCAGAACCACATGGATGATTCTGGGCAGCTGATCACCTGGAGTTGAGAGTGAGGGGTTTTTATACCTTCTCTTGGGCTTTGCACTTGAACTTCCTGTTCCTGTGCAAGAACATGTGTTCTAT